AATTCACACAAGAGCTCATAGAGATCTTTGGTATTCTGCCAATTTTATTACTCTCACACCCGCTCCTCTGCACTCCCCAATGACTCCAGGCAGTAAGGAAACAGTAGCTCCGAGCTATGCGAGCTCCACCTCTGCTTACAGCTATGCAGGCAAACCCACACACTGGTGACAAGGCAACAAAATGACTACAGCAAATGAAGGGCACACAAGCACTAACTGCCATGGCCTCTGCGTGATCCTAAAGCTCACACCTGACAGGATGAGAAAGGCAGGAAGCAGACGGGAAAATAATTAAGGGAGCTCTACTACGTAAATGAAAGAGCACCAGCCTCCATGCAAGACAACACGCACGACTCCTCATGGAGATACAGTTTGCGAGCTTCCTAACTCTGGGAACAGCCCCAGAGAGATTCCGAGCGTACATTTCAACAGGGCACTGTGCACATGTTACACGGGCACCAGTGAAGTCTGCGGTAGCCAGAAATTCCATGYGATTGTTCACAGGAATTCAGAGCCAAAGGTTTCCTCTGCAGTGCCCGTGGCGCACACACCTCCTGCATGGCACCAACGACTTCGGCAGCATGCGGGAATACTCAGCTGACACAGGAAAAGGGGTCTCTTGTCCATTAAGCTCACAGAAGACAAGGGATGTTGGGTAGCTCATGCCACAAGCTAATGGCAATAACACGGAGATATAATTCCTAAGAAGCAGCACAACAGAATTCATCAAGCAGCTCAGGGTCCAGACCTGCTGCTTCCCTTCTTGCCAGGCTTTTCGCAGGACTGATTGCCTCTGCCCTGCTCAGGAACTTCCCTCTCCTCAAAATTACCTGCTGCAGGTGCTGGCAAAATGAGCCAATTATTTGCAAACTCATCAACTCAATCAGTACATATCCGTAAATACAAACTGTTGCATATCTAAACTAATCTGGTGGCAACCTTACGAAGGTCCAAGTGTTTCTGAAGACAGAAACCCTAAAGAAAGCAAAGGGGGCTCTTCTGCACACATGGTGGATCCTGGTGTGAACACTCCCAGGGCATGAGAACCTGTTACAGCAGTCGATCAGAAGTGACTGCTCTTGACAGAGCCACAGCCGCCTACACATGGAGCTCTTAACCACTATCTTTCCCCTTGACGAAAGGTTGCAGTTTATCTACATGCCGCATTAAAATACTTCATGGTTACCCACAAAAATTTAACCTCTTCCTTTTGTTATTCAAATATGAAACTAAATTAGCATCAGCATCTTTAAAAAAAATATGAATGATTTGGGGAATGCATATAACATAAATATGTTTTATCCTCCTTTCTTCCCAAGGGAAATATCCTCATTCTCTTCAGTTTATGTAACAATTTGAGACACTCATCACCATTTTTCCAATACCCTTTTGAGGTAGAAACTACAACATACCATATTAGACATGAAGCAAACAAAAAGTTCACYGATTTCCACTACTTTTTGCCAATCTGTTTCTTATGAAGTTTATACAGACCATAAGGGTAAAAGAAGGGGGATACAGATTTGACCATATGAAGCACATAAGAAGTTTATTATTATAGTTTCAACTCGAATGTGCCAGAGCACCACATGAAAGCATCTGCCCCTCTATCCCCAGCAATTCTTTCAACACAGAATTGTAAGAGCTGAGATTAAAGGAATAAAATCTCCAGCTGGACGAGCGAGACCTGCGTCACTCGGGTTGTCCGAGGGAAGCATTGGGTTGCTTGATGTGGTGACAGGCTGGGTGGGGAACCAGCAGGAGCCTCTTTCCCAGGGAATATGGGAAGCTTCCAAAAGAAAACAATGTCCCTGCCATTTGAGATCTTCAATTACATCATATTTTGCTGTAGCAATTAAGAAGTCACATATTGCCTAAAAATGACATTCAGTAATTTCTTATTCTCATCCAAGCCACAACGCATAAACAAAAAATGCAGAGCTGGAAGCACTCCAAGCTGCCACCAAAACGGGCAACCTTGCTAGGCAGAACAGGCCTCTCAGAGAGCTCAGATCCCAGCCAACACTGACCAGGGTCTGCCACAGTCCCTCAGTAGCCCCTCAAGGCCCTATCAATACTGATATCCTCCCTAACTGGCAAAGGGCAACTAGGTGGTGTTAACTCTCGGCTCCAGCAGCGCTGCCAGGGAGCACTAACGTGGCAGGCAAAGTACCTTTAAGTGAGAAATAACGGAATCTTTCTGGACAAGAGAGAGCAATTTCTCCTCTTCTTCTTAGAGACAAAAGTGACAGTCTCCTTATTTGAAGCCTTGCTCTGCACCCTGGGGTGCCACCGTTGCAACCCCTTTGTCTGCCATCAGAAAAAGTCAATCCCCATATATCTTCCTGCTGTAATAATAAACACTGCCAGCTCGCATCTGGCTCGCTATAATTACTACCAGTTTGATAGAATTACTGCAGGTTTAACAGTGACAAGAAGACAGCACCATTCAGCGGAAAACTAGGAAGATTCTTCTCAAGCACAAAGACTATCAACTTAATAGAATAAGAACTTGAGAGCTGAACACAGGTTTTCTATAGTGAACGTGCAGCTAATCTAACACCTGACCTTGCTACTGAGCTGTCCTAGTGCTCGGCAGGCTCGGTTTTGGCAGTGAATATGGCAGGAACCACACGGAGTGGCCCCGTGCGGGACATTCTGCACCCACTGGGTGCAGTCCCAGACCTCACGCTGTGGTGAAGGGCACCACACGACTGGATGGGCTTTTTCCCTTGGAGCAGATACCATAATCCATAGGGTGCCCTTGGCAGCTCACTACAGAGACCATCACTTTTTCCTCTCTCCGGGGGGGATTCTCGCTACACCAACATTACAGCCAGAGTGGCTCCCAAAATAAATAATGTGTTTGTGGCTGGACATGTGGCCCTCATCCTCCCATGGGCCGGACACGCGGCTGCTGCCTCGCTGCACCTGTAAAAGCAACCAGAAAATAAGGGAGGGGAAGGGTGTCGTCAAACCCAAGGCACCACCTCCCCTTCACCTGGGTTTTCACCACCACGAGGTTCTGAGCATGCAGTTGCACACACTGACTTACTAACATCATTTCTCCTCAGTGTTTGCTCTACTCATAACACATCCACATACAAGAAGTGGTCCAACCACAATGCACAAACGTATGCACAAACACACAAGAAGCACATAGGCACCCAGGCACAGGTCCTTGAGCACAAGAKTAACAGTCTACGGACAATTACACCTCATATTGAATGGAAAAATGTTTCAGAATCTGGGTGGGAAATAAGACACATCAGAGAAAGGGAAGGAGCCACTAAATGAACAATATGGCAAAAAACAGTCATCAGGATATTCAGCAGTTTTCTAGTGAAGTCCTTTCTAGTATCATACTCTTATTTTTCACTTCATCCAGAAAAAAAAYAGGACATTAAATCATTCACTGTCAAGACCTGAGAGAAAACTTTACTTTGTAGATTACATTTGGTGTTTAACCAACCATTTTTAGAAGGTTGCTGCCTTTTGCCAAAAGCAGGCAAAATAACAGCACTGTCACCAGTAACCCTGGACACTGTCCCAAATACCACCAGGCAGCCTGATAACTGACTAGAAATGTTTGAGTAACATTTCACCAGTATCAAATTCCCTATTTACTGCTGCCATCCAGCTAGCTCAACAGCTGCAAAGAAAAGGCTGGCACAAACATCAGAGACTTGGTGAAGATTTTTCTGTCCCTATTTTCATATCACTGCTTTCCGTATCTTTACTGGAAGGAGGCTTGCATTAGCCAAGTATCAGCATGTAGGAGACTTGGGAAAGAGCTCCTCAAACTCAAAATTCTTAACCTCACACATAAGAATCATTCAGGCAATACAAAATATAAGACTTGTGAACAGGACAGGTTACAAGGCTCCAATTTAAAAYACAAAGCTGACTCATACCTGCGACAAACTCACACAAGAAGAGCTGTGCTACGATTAATACAAGCCTGGTCAAGACACATTAGAGAAAATAAGGTGGAATCAGCCCCAGTGCAAAAACAATAAATATTTTTAGAACTAAACTTACAGTTGAAATATGAGCTGGTTCTTTTTACCTAAGGGAACAAAGTCTTATTTATCAAATGTAAAAAAGAACTCCCAGGATTTCSAAATGCCCATTCTATCAATGCAAACACAGAGAGCACTGCTCAGATGATACTGCAGCAAATGTAACGGGTGCAACTTAACATTTAGAACCTATTRCACGACCAGGCTCTTCCCTCCCCTCCTTCTCCCTATTGTTCCACTGCTGGAAGAGCGGTGCGGAGCCAGGAACCCRCAAGCAGTATCGCATTTGCAAATGTTTGTGCCAAGAGATTCATTTACTCAGGTCTACACACAAAATTAAAGTGGTCACAGATATGACTCTTTGAGAGTCATTTTATTAAAGCCCTAAGAGGTGCAGACGACCTCAGCTCCAGGAGCAGCCGGAAAGAATGGCCAAAATGGTGACTAACAGTAATAAGTCAGACCAAAAAGAAGGGGGGGGGGGGGGGGGGGGGGGGGAAAAGGGGGGGCACAAAAAAAAAAGACCCGCGGAGGGGGGCCACCACAAAGGCAGGGGAGGGGGGCGGGGGGAGTGAGGGCCCCGCGCCCCCCTGCTGGCGGGGGGGGGGGGCGGGAGAAAAATCATTATGAAAACAGGGAAAAAGAAGGCTGCACCGGGCAGAGGGTCAGCCTGAATTTTTGGGCTGCCCACTCGCATAACAAAGCGAAAACGCGTTAAGCCTTCCTCTTAACAAATAAAATAGTAAAAGAATAAAAATAAAATATAAAATAATAAAAAAATAAGAAAAAATAAGAACAAAACGGGGCTGGGGGCAGGGCGAGGGCTCGGGCAGCCCCGCAGGGGCGGGCAGGGCCGGGCCGGCCCGCGCAGGACACGCGGCGGCCCCGGGCACGCGGGCAGGCGACACCGGGGGGTCCCGAGGGCGGCGGGGGGCGGCCGGGGCGGGGGACACGGGCCCGCGCTCGCCGCTCACTCACCCGTCCTTGCGCTTGGCCTTGTAGACGTGCCCGTAGGTGCCCCTGCCCACCTTGCAGCCCTCGTACTCGAAGAGGTCCTCGACGCGCTCGCGCTCGCCCGTCAGCTTCACCTTGAAGTCATAGTCCATGTTGGGCGGCCGCC